TCTTAAGTGGTGTTTCTGCAAGTACTTCATGACACTGCCTCAGTTATCTTCCATTTCTCCTACTTGTTGCCGTAATGAGGGAAGGGTAGAGAAAAACTGCTTTGGCTTTTTTTTCTTTTTCTTTTAAACAAATCAAACAGTAGTGGTTTTTGTAGTGGCACTCCAGTTCAAATTTTAAATCTATTTTTGGTTAAATTTGTCTTTGTATACAGGCTGCAAACTGGGAGAAGCCTCGGATTTTATTGTCCGTCAAGGTACACTTATTCAGGTTCCATCCTCAGCTGGTGATGTTGGTTGTTACAAGATTTGCACCTGTGGACACACTGGATTGCTAGAAAATTGTGTAGAAATGCATTGTGTTGACCTCCAAAAATCATGCATTGTTGGAGGACAAAAAAAAAGTAAGTATCAGAATGGTAATTATATCTTTACAGAGCACCTTTTCCTTAAGTAATGAAATTTGAGTTGCATATGAAGATCAGAGGAATAGAATGCAAAGTTTGTCAGAAGATACAGCGATTAATACCTGCTTCCTCATATGTAACACTTGTTTAATACTTTTATATGCTGGAGTTGCATTATTTAAGTCAGTACTGAATAAAGTCTGACTAAAGTAATGAAAGTTCTTTGTAAGTTGTTCTTAGTGTGCCATTTTTCAACCAAAAGGTCACTGACTTCCTTCACATGCCCTGTATTTTATAGTACTCCATAGCACCTGGCTTCTTTTCTGATAGCAGAACTTGCTCATGAGAGCTTTGTCAAGGAAATGATCTGAGGAGAGTCAGTAGGCAGCAGGGATGAAGCAAACACAGTAGAACAAATTTCTTTGCTTTAAACACGCTTGGTGCTGAGGTTTAAACCAGTATGCATCGCTCTGCAGATACAAAACTAGTGATACTTTGTGTAAATCTGCTGTAAAATATTCAGGGACTTTGAACTGTCATGTGCTGAAAGCAGTTGTTAAATCTTTGTTTTGTCAGACTTTACTTTTTTTCCTTCTATGTTTGCACTTAATCACTCATGTTACCATAGCAACTGAATAGCTTGCTTTCCCTGGTATATTTCTCACAGAGCTCTCAGTCAATAAGGTATTTTAACCTCCACAATGTGACATCATATAACCACAGAATCATACAATGACTCAGGTTGGACTGGCCCCTACAGATCACCTAGTTCCTACTCCTCTGCCATGGGCAGAGTTGCCATTCACTTGATGAGGCTGCCCAGGGATCCAGCCTGCCTTTGAACTCCCCCAGGGATGGGGCATCCACAGCTTCTCTGGGCAGCCTGGACCAGCACCTCACCATCCTCTGAGTGAAAAAATTCCACATAACATCTGTATCTCCCCTCTTTTTATTTAAAGACATTTCCCCCTCTCACCAATTCACAAATCCAGTCAGTCTATCAAATAGTCCAGCCTGTTATCTACTGAGTTCTGTCTTTGATCATGGAAGCTAACAGTCTCTGAAAGCTTTCAAACAGATTGAAAGTCAGTTACTTTTTTAATTCTATAGAATCACGTAAGAAAATATTCTGTTTAGTGTATGCTCCAAATCTTGGAAACTTTTCTTGGAAACTGCTGCAAAAAATCCTTCTTTCTTGTCTAGTTCTGTGTTTTAAAGAGCTTCTTATGCTACAGGTGCTTTCTTCTTCCACTCTCTGTTGGTCAGCTGTCATTTGCCTTGGAGTATTCCAAATTGCTCAAGTGCTGAGGATTTTACTTGTGCTAGATCATTATTTTTCAAGAATTGTAATCTTTAAACTGAACCCTCTGAAAAGGGATTAGAGAAAATTGCCTGGTTTTCGTGGGGCATGGTTACTTTCATGCTTTTTGCCTCTTGACAAAAAGTAACGCACTAAGGATAGAAGCACACAAACGAGACAGAAATTGCAGTTCTGAAAGAAACTGAAATTAAGGTAACAATAATTAAAACATTTATCTGTGCTTACTGTGTTCTGGTATACTTGTATTAATCGGATACATTTACTTAATTATTTTTATTATTAAGGCCATGGGACATCTTTTAATATAGACTGCAATGTCTGTTCATGTTTTGCTGGGAACTTGATATGTTCCACACGTCAGTGCTTAACTGAGCACAGTTCAGAAGATGAACGTCGGAAGTTTACAGGTAATAAACAACAGAAACTGTAAGTTCTTTGTTCTTAGAGTAAGGATTAGCTTCTAAATTCTTTCTATGGAATGATTCAGTATAAAGATATTCTTTCAACTGTTTATTTTTTAATGTCCAACCTGCACTTCTGGAAGAAAACGCTTTCTTAAAAAAAATATTTTAGTTTTTAAATCAGTACAGGGAAATTAAACCTCAGGTAGTCTGTGGAAATAGGCAGACAGGACAATGCCACTGGGAGTGACAGAGAAGGAGTTTGTGGAAACGATAAAGAAAGTTGAGTAGAATGAGGAAGTGGGTGGAACACAGACTTCCTTTCCTACCACACGTAACTGTGTATGTGCCACAGCATTGCTTAATTAATTGCTAACAGCTATCAGCCGTGAGGTTGAAGAGAACAGTACGTCTTCACGTTTCCTGGATGTTAGGATGGCTTAGTGACCTCGAGTATATCTTTCATCTGAGAAAATAAGTGTGAACCATACCCTTGCTCTGTGTGTTGCTTTTGCAGGTTTGCCATGTAACTGTGTAGATCAGTTTGTACCAGTGTGTGGTCAGAACGGGCGCACGTACCCAAGTGCATGTATCGCTCGATGTGTTGGCCTCCAAGACAATCAGTTTGAATTTGGATCGTGTATTTCCAAGGATCCTTGTAACCCTAACCCTTGTAGTAAAAATCAAAGGTAAAACCAAGATATTCTTACGCTTTGACATCTGCTTAAAAGGCAAACAGACCTTTTTCTTTGGTGAACGTCTACTGTGTAGCAATGGTTTGCTCTGGAATAGTTTGATAACAGTAGTCTCTTTTTACATATTAATTTATTCACTTAGCGTAGCAATGGACTGTAATACCTGCCAATTCTTGGTTCTCTGCATACAGTGCTGTATCATTTATATTTCTTACTCACATCTCAGTTCTAGACACAAGACAGTATTCATGTGTAGTTTTAAAAAAAGGGAGAAAAAAGTTTGTTGGACATTTTAGTACTCCGATTCATAATTTCTTCTAACACCAAAGAAAATTAGCCTGAGTTGAAAATTTTAATTCATTGCTGCTTATTCAGTTAATAATCTGTGTTTTTAATTTCTGAACTTTGAAAATATCCGTAACACTGGAAGGTTTTAAGTTTCTCTGACAGAATTTCATTGTTGGCTTGTGAAAACCATCTCTGTACACTCTCTGGATTTTTTTTTTCATGTAAGAGAAAAATCTGCATAGAGAAATATAACAAAAACTGACGCCAGTGGCAGGACAAAGTCTGAACATTCTTCAAGAGATCAAAGTCCATGGCTTTTACTTTTGGTCTCTGTCTTCAGACAGAGTTCTTCATTTTCTCAGTCTTGTGCATTTGGAATGGTAAATTTTCTATTTGGAAAGAAAACTACCATAAGAGGTTGTGTAATACTTTGCTTTCATGACAAATGATGAAAACGTTTTTTTCCCTATATATTTAAAAGCAGAAAACTGCAGACAAAACAGTATTGTTTTGCAGCTGCAATAGAAGTTGAGGTATTGAGACTACAAATTTTAAAGCTGCATTGTTGGCATGCATTCTTTAACTTACATATTTTTAATCTGGAAAGTATTGAGTTGGCTTCTTTTCAGATTTACAGAATAATCATTACACTTAGAACTTCAACTTATTTAAGACTGTACACAACAGGTTATTCTGGGTATGTCTGATAACATAACTGAGCATGTGAAACTTCATTTTAAAACATTTCTCAAGTGCTTAGAATGTATTTAAAACTTTATGTTCCATTAGTATTTTTAAAGCATTTGAATCTCAGAATTTCTGAGTCTTTCCTTTTATAAATAATGCTTAAGACAGCAACGCTGAGGAAGAGTAAGGGAGCACTGTATGTGATCACTGTAATTTGTAGAGAAAGGAGATTGTTGGAAAAGCAATTTGGACTTCCACTGGTCTATTTTTCAAATCCCCTTGGTTGTCTTGTATCTAGTAGAGGATATCTTGCCAGACATGACAAATGTTTCAGAGATGAGACCATGGAAGGTATGCATTTAATACAACAGGAAAAGCACTTCTGGTGTTTACTGCTCTTGACTTGTCTGTGAACCTTGACAGGGATGATAGGCTAAAAAGGAGATTGTTAGTACTGATTTTTTGTTTATTTTTAGTCATCCCCAGGATTGGAAGTGATGTAGCATACCAAGCCTACAAAGCTGGAATCAAATTGTATGCTTGCAATTGGCCCCCTGTCATCTTTTGTTGTCACTGTTCTCTCAGCATAGGTTAGACCTCTGCAATAGAATCATTTTCCCTTGCAGTTTACTGTTTTGGTGTTTGATCCAGTTTTCCTTCAATACACCTTTACAAAGTGAGGTTTGGGAGTAAGAAGAAGTTTTTTGAAGACTTTTTCAAAAATCCATTGAAAAATATTTGATGGAAGATAAAATTTTACAGAAACTATAGCTGTGTGCACATACATTGACTAAATGTTTTGTGGATCGTTTTCAGGTGTGTACCAAGTTTGTAACTGGTTATTCAGGATGTTTTGTCACATGCATTTCCTGTAGTCTTGCTTAACCACAGTTAGCTCTAAAGCACTGGAGAAGTCCTTATTGACAATGTTTCCACCGAGTACTTGGAAACATTTTGATAAACTTGTGACTGTAACTTTCTTTAGATGCATTCCAAAGAAACAAGTTTGCTTGACTAGTTTTGGAAAGTTTGAATGTAGCCAACATGAATGTGTGCCAAGGCAATTAAACTGTGACCAGACACAGGATCCTGTTTGTGACACGGACGGCGTGGAATACAGTAATGTGTGCACTCTGTACCAAAAAGGAAAAAATCTGGCCTATCGAGGACCATGCCAGGTAAGGAATACGTAAAGAAACGAATGTTAAACCTCTGTTCTTTTATTTCGATCGTACAGGATCCTGCTTTTGTCATTTAGAAAATGTTCACGTCGATAGTGATCCTTTAAAACTAATTTTGACTAGTATAAGAATGCACCAAATGATATCTGGGATTTTAAGTGTGGAGGTGTTTGAGACAGACATCTCAAAACCAACCAAAAGCTTTGCTTCTCCTTTCTTAGGGGAAATCCTCTGATGCTTGTATTAAGTCTTCTTAGTAAGTCTTCTGCTGCAAACACACTCCAACGCAAGCTTTAATTAAAGCAGTTCCTTGGTAGGAATCCCAAATAACACCAAGTTGAACTTTTTCTAAGTGAAAATTATTGCTTCATCGTGTCTCCTTTGTAGTAGATCTATTTTTTTCAGAATATTTTGAAACAATTTCACTCGCGTGTTAATTTTCACTATGCTGATATTGGGAGTTTGAGACTCAGGGTCACTCCCATCTTGGCAGTAAAAGGCTTTCTGTGGGAAGTCATTAGCCTTTTGTTTGATTTGGTACTATTTTCTTTAGACAGTCTGTATTTGATCGTTCTTCACATTAATCCCTCTTAAGGAACAGAATTAATGAGATCTTCAGCCCCACCATTCCCTGCAGTGTTGGCAGATGGGCTGTTTCTATTGCTCTGCAGACAGGCTAGGAGCTCCTCTTTCCAGAGTTGCTGGCTTTACCATTTGTAGGCTGGTTATCTCTAGATTTTTCTCAAACAATGGAGATGAATCTGAAATGAGTCTGTGAAGAGTCACTGATTCCATTTGCTTTTGCCTGTATTCAGAAGGTTAAGTCTGTTGGCTTTTGCCTTCCTGAAAATGCTGAACAAACGTATCTGCGAAGGCGAGATGGAGGGAATGTTACAATTTTCTGTTATTTTGAGGCGTATTTGAATCAAGTGATGCTGCATGTGCTTCTGTGAGGAAAAAATGGAGACAATAAATACATTTATTTTTTTACAAAGGTCTCAATCATATGTATTTTTCCCCAGAGGTGTGTAGTAATAGACTTTATTCCCTTGAAATAAATGTAGACATGTAGCTTTTCAAATAATGTTGTTAGAAATACTACATTCTAAGAACATAAAAAAACCACATGGAGATGAGTAAGTCATAGAAATAAATACATTTAATAAATTAAATGAAATTACAGTCATTATTAGCACAGAACTAAAATTCTTCTTCCCCAGAAGTGTCTTACTGCACATTTCTCAGATTCTAACTTAGATTCTTCTCTCACCTTCCAGTATTTTTCTTCAATTATTTTTTGTGCTTATTACCTGTTCCTAAACTGGCAGATACTCCTCACTCTAGATTTGTTTGTTTTTATCTGAATGTATTGGCCACAAATACCCGTGTATTTTGATTTACCCATGTATTTTGATGTTAACAATGCTTTTTGCTGGTAGCATGAATAAATTGATCTTCAAAGCATTTCTGTGTGTTTCAGCCATTCTGCAAATCAGTAGAACCTGTATGTGGACATAATGGGGAAACCTACAGCAGTGTGTGTGCTGCCTATTCTGACCGCGTGGCCATTGACTATTATGGGCCCTGCCAGGCTGTAGGTGTGCTCTCAGACTATGGCTTTCACACAGAGTGTGCCTTTGTTAAATGTCCCCAGCTTTCTGCTGCTGGCTGCAAACCAGTCGTTGCACCAGGTAAGTTAACTCAATGTTGAAGTTTACTGCACGTCTCCAGGCCATCTGCATTAATAAATGTGTACTCAGAATTAAACTCATGGCTTAAAATACTGAATTCTGTTACGTCTTTGAGACATCCAAGAGGAAGAATGAAGTGGAGATCTTTAGTTAAGGCTGGAACAAGGCAGTGCTGGGACTCAGCTGAGTGATTTCAAAGTGGAAGGGCCTTTGGCTTTTAGGAACCACGTTCCTTCACTATTTAGAAACTTGCAGCTGTGCCCACAGGACCAGTCAGGGAGAAATGAATGAGGTCTGTGGTGTATAGGGTACAATGTCAGCACAATCCAGTAGGAACCAGATGAGTAATTTTTCAGAACTGACAGCACAGATGCACCTTGGGAATGCCAAACTATTCTCAAAATACAGTTCCCAGAATAACAAAGATTATATTTAATTTAGAAGACAGAGTAAGATATCTGTTGTATTTACAACACTGTGAAGAAGGAAGTAGGAATAGTCCTGCTATTTTGTATTTTCATTCTTTTCACAAGTACTTCCTCAAGGAAGCAGTAATAAATTATTCACAAAGGTCAATTTTCAGAAAGCTTCATGTGGTTTTTCTCATTCAGTACTTTAAAAATGGCTTATGTGCTTTACTGTTATATCTAATGTAGTAACAGTCATTCTTAGAATGTGAATTACTTAGTCAGGGGCATGAACTGATATGAACATACAACAGTGGGTAGGCAGAAGGTTGAAATATCAGCCCTTTTGTTTCCAAGATAGTGAGGGAAAGTACAGGGGAAGCACATGCTTCTGTGTTAGAACAGATCTATGGGTTTTCCTGCTCTAGCTGTATAAAGATTCTAACGTGCAACTCATAAGGAAATGTTTGCCATGTGCAGTTATGCATCTGTTATATCATCACTATTTCAGCTTCTGAAATTCATAACTTCTGTAGTTGCCTATGACTTCATACAGTATCTTGTCTTGCAGTACCTATGCCTTTTAGCTTCAATAATGTTATATTGAAACAATTTTTTGTCTTGTTGCTTCACTTTGTAGTTGTAAATATGTGACTACTTATGCACTGTGAGGATTTTCAACATTTGAAAAAAAAAGGTTGTGCACTTCTGCTATCAAAGTGAAAGATTTACTTTGCTTTGGTATTTTGATAATTTTCATTCTGAATATTGGGCTTTACCTAAAGTGAAAAGTGTTTGTTTTTCTTTCAGAGATTTTATTGTTTTTTTTTCACTTAATCCCACAGGAGCTTGCTGCCCACTGTGCGCTGGAATGCTGAGAATATTATATGACAAAGATAAGCTGGACAACTTTGCAAGGGTAAAGTTCAGTCATTCCTTGTGTTAAAGGGTAGATGGAAAAGTCAAACTATTTTATACCCTTCTGAAAAGTTAAATATTATAAAATCAGTTATTTTTCAGGTTTTTTAATACTTCCCATTATTTCTTAACATTTGGATCTAGAAATTGAACGACAGTGCAAAACAAAACCGAATAGGCATAGACAACAACAAGCACATTAAGTTGCAGTTTAAATGACTTTTAACATAAAGGCATGCTAAGAAAACTCTGTTTAGCTATCTCATGGCACCAACACAGTTTGTGTTTGTTATTTATGGCACTTATAATAAGATTATTCTGCTGACTTAACTATTTTCTAATGTGGGTAACTTAGTTCTGACGTTGCCTTTGGATAGTTTTACACTCTTCATGTTTATCTAGATGGTTATTGATGATTTGTTTTGCTCTTCAGCTAAAATGTCTTTGTAAATGTTCTTTTTTTAACATATCTATAAGTTAGATGCTTGCATTCTTCATTGCAGTTCTTTGAAAACCTCTAGTTTAAAATGGATCTTATGCTGACTGGCCATCACTGAACACAACATTCTAGGTCCAGCCTCACCATATGATGTGTAAAAGAACTGCATTTCTCTTTTGGCCCCTGCTTTCATGCTTCAGTATATGGAACACAGTATAACACTTAGAGTCACAGAATCACAGAATTGCTCAGGTTGGAAAAGACCTTAAAGATCATCAAGTCCAACCACGGCCTAACCATCCTACCCTCACTCTAACAACCCTCCGCTAAGTCACGTCCCTGAGCACCACATCCAAATGGTTTTTAAACACATCCAGGGATGGCGACTCAATCACCTCCCTTGGGAGCCCATTCCAGTGCTTAACAACCCTTTCTGTAAAGGTCTTTGTCACGATATCCAACCTAAACTTACCCTTGTAAGGTAAGTACCCTTGTGAGGTGTAACTTGAAGCCATTTCCTCTTGTTCTGTCACCTGTCAAGAGAGAAGAGACCAGCCCCACTCTCGCTGTAAGCACCTTTCAGATATTGGAAGAGAGCAGTAAGGTCTCCCCTCAGCCTCCTCTTCCCTAAACTAAACAGCCCTCCTCAGTCTCTCCTCACAGGCTCCAAGCCCTATTCTCCAAGCCCTTCACCAGCCTTGTTGCCCTTCTTTGGACCTGTTCCAGCACCTCAGTGTCCTTTCTGTACTGAGGTGCCCAAAACTGAACACAGTATTTGAGCTGAGGCCTCACCAGTGCCGAGTCCAGGGGCAGGATGACTTCCCTGGTGCTGCTCACCACACCATTCCTGATCCAAGCCAGGATGCCATTGGCCTTTTTGGCCACCTGGGCACGCTGCTGGCTCGTATTCAGCCCACTGTCCATCAGCACACCAAGGTCCCTTTCCATCAGGCAGCTTTCCAGCCACTCCTCCCCAGGCCTGTAGGGTTGCCTGGGGGTGTTGTGACTAAAATGCAGGACCTGACACTTGGCCCTGTTGACACTCATACAGTTTACATTGGCCCATCAATTCAGTCTATCCAGGTCCCTCTGTAGTGCTTTTCTGCCCTCAGGCAGATCAACACTCCCTCCCAACTTGGTGTCGTCTGCAAACTTACTGAGGGTGCACTCAATCCCCTCATCAAGATCATTAATGAAGATGTTAAATAGAAGCAGCCCCAGTACCAAGCCTTGGGGGACACCGCTTGTTACCGGCCACCAACTGGATTTAATTCCATTGACCACAGCGCTTTGGGCCCAGCCATCTAGGCAGTGTTTCACCCAGCAGAGCACATGGCCACCCAAACCGTGGGCAGCCAGCTTCTCCATGAGGATGCTGTGGGGGGCAGTGTCAAAGGCTTTAACTGATTTTTGGCACCACATCACAACAAAATGTGCTGCTTATTGAAGTATATTTGTATCTGCATGTGATCTTCATTTAAAAAATCAAAAAGAAAGAATTTGCTCAAAACATTTCACAAGTCCACTAACCTATTTAGACACTCAGAAGTAGAGATAATTAATAATTTCCAGGTAGACCTGAGCATGCAGGCAGGTTTGCTGTGCCCAACGCTGAGTTTGGCAGAGAGGAACCTTACAAGATTCAAGGCCAATTCCTATTTCTGGGGAGGAAAAACAGCATGCATCAGTACAGGTTATGGGCTGACCTGCCGGAAAGGAGCTCTGCAGACAAGGTCCTGGGTTTCCTTATGGACAACAGGCTGGCCATGAGCCAAGGTGTTCTTGTGGCCCAGAATGCCAGTGATATTCCAGGCTGCATTAAAAAGAGTGTGGCCAGCAGGTTGAGGGAGGTTATCATTCCCCTCTGCTGTGGTGAGGCCACATCTGGAGTACTGTGTCCAGTTCTGGGCTAAATGATCTCTAGAGGTCCCTGCCAACACCTATGATTCTGTTTCTCTAATTAGCTATTATAAGAACACAGGAAAGAAAAATAGATGGAGCAGGAGAATGGTGCAAAGCATGAAAAGCTAAGCATGGGAAGTGAAAAGCTCTCTTACTCCAGTAAGAGAGAGGCAGCAGGGAGCCAAACTAATGAGAACCAAATTAAGTTCTCTACTTGCCTAGGGAGCAAATGCCCATAGAACCTGTATGAGAGAAATGATAATACTATTTTGCATTAAATCACCCATGAAGTGCTTTGCTTTTTTCCAGGTAACCAATAAAAAGCCTATAACTGTACTTGACATACTTGAAAAACTCCGCCTGCATGTTTCCGTGCCACAGTGTGATGTGTTTGGATATTTAAGCATAGAATCTGAAATTGTGATTCTCATCATTCCTGTGGATCAGAAACCCAAACCATTGCAGGTAGGTTATATTCTTATTTCATTTACCCAGCTTGGATTTACATCATTTTAGTATGTATGTACTTCATTATTTTCAATATAGCAGTTTTAAAATTGTTTTCCTGTGTGCTGAATACATGGGGATCT